TGTGAGAACTTCTTAGCGTATTATCAACGTTATCTACCTAGATATATCAAAATTTTAAAGATTTCGAACGCAGAATCAAATTCAAGATTATAAAAAATGGGAATTACTATTTGCTAGTCATCATGTATAATGCAAGCAAAAGTAAATTATTCGAATCACTTCAAATGCTCTTCACAGGAGATTCCGTTGTGAAATTCGATTAAATTTGAGGAATTTATGAAATTTGATACATACCATATAAATGGTTACTTTTTTAGTATTAACGAGTCACTATTTGGTCACTATTGCCGTAATTTTAGTCACTAAAGTCACTACTATTATATCGCATCAGCACTTCCAGTCCTGGGGTAGCCTTCGTTTTCGGAAAGGCTGACGAGGCTGCTGAAGATCAAAACACATCAATTAGTAAAATCAGAAGCAAGATCGAAAGTCTTCGAAAATTTCATCAACTTACCTCCAAATCCCACAACTGGAGTATCCTTCCGATCCTTCCACTCGATAGCGTCACCGCGGATGTCTCCATCTTATTATCCATATCGAGCAGAAGAGAAACAACCGACGGATGAAAATGTGGGACAATTGAAGAAACTGCTGCTCCTAACAATAAATATGCCATACCCGAACGATAACCCAAATTATTGAACTATTCCACAAATGGTTTGGATGATACACTGAACACGTCGTTAGCAAAATTCCGGTCTAGGAATTTTTCGGGTTGGAAAATTTCTCGACTTCCCTGGGCATAGAAGTATGATTGGACTTGCCACACAATTATACCAATGCAAACATGGTACAGGCATCGAAAGCTCTCAATTAATAACTGTGGAAGTGCATCTAGAACACTAAGTTGAGAGCACGCAAAAAGCTAATATGTCATACGCAATAAGCTTGAAATGCGAGGAAGGAGAAGAAGAAGAAGAGGGTTTTTGACAGTTTTTCAGCTTTTATGAGCAACATTTCGATGTACATATGAAATTAGTACCCGGAAAAAAATGTTCATTAAGTTTCCATTGGGAATACACATAATATTTTTCGAACATAAGGTTTATGTGATTTTATGGTGCAATTCCCAGTAATTAAAGTTCTGTGAAATTCTATTGAATATTTTTCTTTGGATATGTGATTTATTCTTTGAGTGTATACTTCTAGAATGAGTAAATTTTTCGTCGATTTTTGTCATATTCGAAAAGATTTATGAGCCTCGGAAAATTTTACTCAGTTTACAAGTAAATTACGTTTTCTAGAGTTTGAGTAATTTAAACTTAATTTTTAATCAATCTTATATGCCATGTAGTGTGGAAATCCGTTAGTTACTTAGTATTGGCCCTTTTGCTCGTCAGCAGCGGATGAACGAGCACATCTTAGTGAGAGATTCAACTTTCCACCACCTAAATATGAAGAAGTCGACAATCAAAAGAGCAATTTATAAGCTTATTAATACGATTCTAAACACTTCGTGCTCAAAAAGTGTTGATGAATCAGGATCAGGGTTGCTGAAACGATTCAGATAGGAAGGAATATCGAAATAAAGATCATTGAGAAATGGAGAGTACTGTAAAACAAAGCCAAGTAAAATGAATTGACGCTAAACACTAATACTGTTGTAACGATTTTACAAATACAGGGCTGGTAGCAGGTCACTTTTTAGTGACTTGGTCACTATTTTCAAGTCAGTCACTAAAAAGTCACTTTTTTCATCAAAAAGTCACTAAAGTCACTATTCCTTAAAATTTAGTCACTAAAGTCACTTTTTGACGACCAATGTTGAGAGTAAAGAATTTGACTTTAAAAACTTAGAGTAAAATCTGACAAGTAGAGTTGCGAACAAGTATTGACGGAATCTAATATTTTGATAAAACAGCAAAAAAGGTCAGCTTCCATTTAATTCCACTTAATTAATTTTGGTATCTAAAGCTTTAGTGGGAATGACACTGATGAAGACTGCACATTGTAGTCGAAATACGTATCTGTCATGGATACCAAAATTAATTAAGTGGAATTAAATGGAAGATAACCTTTTTTGCTGTTTTATTTAGCATTCCGCTAACAACCCAATTTCATTACTTCATAATATTTTGATTTTTTTTTTTTATCTTGAAATTGACATAGACCTACCATAAATTTTCGGAGATTTCGATAAAAGTTCTACACTTAATATTCTGGCTATTTTACATTGAGATCTTGAAAGTCGTCCAAGCCCACACCGCAAAAAAAGGTTACGTCAAATTCAACTGAAAAGGCACGTAGATATTTTCCATCACACTTTTCAGATGAATAATAAGTATTTTTGGAGGGGGAGATTACATTTGAGTGATTCACATAAAAATCAATTGATTTTCACGTAAATTTTATCGAAATTTCCGACGATTTTCAAATTGGCATCATTTAAAAGTTACGGGTATTAGCAAGTAAATGTTACTGGTTTTTGTAGTACTGATAAAGTGAATTGGTCATAGACTATAGATATATATTTCGATTTATTTGAGTCATTAAATGATTGCATTGTAGGAAAAAAAAAAACACTAATTTACATGATCTTGCAGTTGAAGTACATTAACCGTATAGTAGCACCCTTATAGTTCGTCAATTGTTGATTCTTAGCACCTCGAACAATCTATTCCCGTATTCTGCAATTTCATTATTAATTTATAAATGAGTGTCGATTTATAAAAATTATAAAACTTACGCTTGAAAACATGAAGAATCCTGGTAATTCCAACTTGTCCAACAACGACGAAAGCACACTTTCTTCTATCGCCATTTTTGAATTACGAATACGACAAGAAATTCAAGATAGAGCTGGAATTAAGGCGTAACAGCGTCCACACTAACGGATGTTCAATAAAATATGAGAATGATTTCAGTGCCGTCCAGCACTCTTGTGAGAGCATCGCGACTAAGTTGCGTCGTACGGCTGACCAGAGCCTCTTCTCCAATATTCATTGACGTTTTTTTTGAAGAATAAACATGTTTTTAATAAAAAATTCTGAATCCGTTGAAATTTTTTTTTTTACTTGCTATATGACTGAAAAAAATCTCATTTTTTATTGAACACCCATTAATCAACATCACCATCAGGTAGGGTAAGACTTCCCCTACCCGACGGTAATGTTGGTTTGCGTGGGCGTGCCTTGAATTCCTAGAAATCATCGAGAGAAGTCATTGTTTACAAAAGCTGTTACGCCCTTATTCCAGCTCTATCTAGAATTGTTCATAAAATGAAATCACGAAAAGCTTACTTGAATTTCACTTAACCTTCACCAGCATAAAATGTGGACTGGTCCAATGAATCCAGTGGAATTCATTACCATGTCATTGCATTTTATGTGCGACACGTGAACCTTATTGAATTCCTATTTTTTCCTAATGTAAAAAAATGGTCTAGGAAAATTTTCAATCTCTCGAAATTTGTTCAAAAGCCAGAAATTTGAATAATCTTCAACCCCGGTAGCTTTAGTATTTGTCCAAACATCGAGAAAAATAAATCATGTCACAGGTTCTTGAGTTCCTTTTTAAGTCCATTAAATTGTATTGAGTTTTTTTCTATACTAATATTCCGGTAATACAAAACCAAAATTACAGGTCCAAGTCTTAGAAAACAAAATTAAAGAACTCTTAAATGCATTCCTACATCTACATTTTTCACGATCGAGATTTTAAGTCCTATACGCATTCAATTTTGTTTTATGTCCGTGATCATTCTATCTGGGCAATAATAATGAGATTTTATGTTAAACTGCGATCTAGAAAAGTTTTCTAGATCCCAGAGTTATGATTCTTTTTCTAAGTTTGAGGTGTTACAGAAGATTCTATTTTTGGGAGGAATGGAGCAAAGTAAAAAGATGACCAGTTTGTTATATCGACTACAAAGAAGAGAAGGATCTAGAGAATCTTTTATTAATATACTCATGGCTAACTTAGATATATATACATTTAAATCTAGACTGCAGTTCTCCATGTTGTTAAATGCATCGCTTCATATATATCGTAGCTCTTCAAAAATTGCCGTCCTAAAATTGTAAAAAATTGGTACTTTGTCTAAAATCGGTACTTTGAAATTTTTCTCTGTGCCTCAATTTCGCGATCTAATAACAAATTCGTGATCTGCAGAGTGAGGAAACGAAGGTTAGAATTGGACCGTGGTCACTTTTTAATTGTTTAAAGGTCACTATTTGGTCACTATTTTCCTAATTTTAGTCACTAAAGTCACTACTATTACATCACACACCCACTACCAGCCCTGCAAATACAGTTTTAACATAAGATATATCAAGAAACATATTCATTACATTTCTCAAAATAATTACACACCTGAGGGAGAAAAACTTGGCTAAATATAACACAATTTGCTGATACCAACCTTTTTGCCTTTCTCGTACACCAAGGTGTACCGCGAAAGGCTCATCAGCTGGACTAGTTTCCTTCCGGTTTGAAGCGGGGATTGATTCATCGCTCAATGTTCGAGAATTGTGCAGAAAGTCTTCCGATGAAGAGATTGGTCCGCCTCCCGTGCGAACGAAACACTGGTCAAAGGTGTCACTTTTAGCGAGATCTTTCAACATGCTGAATCCAATTCACACGTGACTAATTGAGTGCACGCGTGCGGAATGTTCAACGTTTTGCTGATCTTCTTGTTGAATTATTTTTAAGGCCTGCGAAAGACTAATTGGTGCTTCGTGGCTTGCATAATCCATGTTATCCGATTTGTTAACGTCATGTTTAGTTAGGTTTGATTAAACTTTTCTCCTTACAGTCTAATATCTGATCCGCTGGTATCGCGATACTATCGTAATTATTTCCACTATCCGGATGGATCTGCTTAATTGTACCTTTAAATCTATGCGTTTGTGTGGGCACATTTGCATAATCTCTACCCATTTGACCATCATCGATCCCTCGCATGATACATGGATATGGGCTTACGCACCTGCGTCTCATAGGTATCTGATTAATTTTACTAATCATAGTTTTTTTCCTCTGTTCTTTTTTTCCGTTCACAGAATAATAACAACAGTAACCACAACGCACCGCTGTGCTGTGAGAAATCTGATTAATAATCAAATCACAACTGCCGGCGTCGTCGTCGTCGCAACCACCACCCCAGTCACCCGCGATTCGCAGCATCCATCACTCGTATAGTATTTACTTATGAACAATTACTCATTATTTTAAGGCGATTGGTACTTACAAAAGCGAGTGCGAGCGAAAACTGGTCATTGCACACACACGCAAAGGGAACACAATAGAAGAACGAACAACCAGTGCCTGGTGACCTGTGACCTCCGGCGGAATCACGTCGCACAAAGAACCTCAGCCGGCGGCAAGTGACGAACCCCGGGTCCCCGGATTGACCGTCAAAAGTGCAATTAAATCTTCGGTAGTTTGTAAGAGCAAGTTAACGAATTCTGTGATTATCACCATCATTCCCCCGACACGGCGTCGTCTCCGGTGAAGAAAAGCATAATTAAACAAAGTAGCAATAAAAAAAGGCGAGCAAGTGTGTAAAGCAGGGAGGTAAATGTGTCGAAAGGCAACCTCGACTACTTGAGGAGGCAGAAAGATTGGCCATTTTTGTGTAGTGGATTTCGGTGCGATTTAAGTGAAAAGAAAAGCTCGCAGTGTGTGCTGTTGGGGGAAAACCCAATACCTACAAGTACCTACTACTTTTTCGTTGCGGCTGAGAGAGTGACAGAGAGAGAGAGAGATAGAAAGTTCGAAGCTGCATCCAGAAATCCGGGACGAAGCAACGACGGTAGAAGATGCTAGTTCCGGGACATGTGGTGTCACTGTATGTGGCGACGTGCGGCTATAACGGTGCGGCACTTGGCTCCGACGAGAAGGAGATTGTTCTGCTGATTTACGTAATCATCGATGTGCAGACAAATAATGTAAGTACTCGCTTCTTTGGCTTTGGCTTCGGGCTTAGAGGGCAAGCAAATGTTCCATGGTAGATTTACGAATTTTAAATTTAGCCTGGGCACCGTGACCTGAATTTCTGTCCCGTTGATCTTTCCACCGTAGCGGACTGCTTCTTCGGCTTGACCCCTACCGGTCGCATCACAAGTTTTGCTGTTCTTCTGGACTTTAACCGGGAGTTTTTTTTTTCCTTCATCACCACTCGTCTCAGCCGCTCCTCTGTGTGATGATGGTGATGACGATGATGATGCTGTGTACAGTAATTATATACGTATCTACCCTACCTACGTACTTATTCTTCTCGGCGGTGATATTCGCCTGTGGCTTCTCCTCAAGGAGAAACCCGGGAAATGCTTGTTTTATATTTTTTGTCCAACCCCGGTGCTGACTTTGGATGCTTGAAATCGGGTGTCGGTTGGATGACGATGATGATGGCGATGGGATTTACGGCCGATGTGTACACACAATCGATGGGAGACCGTTGAGTGACGGTACCCGTTTTGTGTTTGTAAGCAAATATGCGTTGTGGACGGGGCTGGAGATGTTTTCAAACGTGTATGAAGTGCTTGAATGTACTTTATTTTGCATGGATTGCGAAGACCTCTCAATGCTGAGGTGATCCTTGTATATGGTAGTTCTGATAGTGTGGGGCTTGGTTACTGTCGTTTTTGACCTTGATTTTCCAAGAAACTTGGCCAATTTGCTGCAGGAAATTTAATCATTACATCAACCTAAATCAAAATCGTTTGACTATTACTCTTTCCAGCGGTCGGATTGAAGTGTACATTAGACTCCTACTAGTAATATGTGCTGCTTTTGTCTTTGGCAAAATTTCCGGTTAGTGTGGGAATGCGCAGCTTTGGGTTCTTATTATTTCACATTGGATAGTGGCTGCTACTGTCGAAGGTCACACCGTCACGAAAGTTAGTTAGCTATCTATATTTAAGAGATACAGTCACGAAACTCTATGCTCAGGAGCCGGTGTATATTTTTCGTTGGTTAAGAAGGTACAGTGTTTTTTACTTGTTTAAGAAATTTCCAAAACTAAAAGAACTCTAAACTAAAGAAAATTCCCAGGGCTGGTGGCAGGTCACTTTTTAACGAGTGTACCCCATTATGCATAAATACATTAGGCATACGGACGTTAGGCATACGGACGTTAGGCATACGGACGTTAGGCATACGGACGTTAGGCATACGGACGTTAGGCATACGGACGTTAGGCATAATGGACGTTAGGCATAAAGTCATTAAGCATAATGGACATTAGGCATAAAATACCTTGCTGCTGTGCATCTCTGTGCAACCTGTTTCGAACATGGTAAACAATGCTTAAATTAGGCTAAGCGTTGAATAAAAAAATGATACAAGTTAAACAAACATAGTTTATTTAATAAACACAGTTTGGAATCCATTATTTATCGTATCATAAGTGACGTAGTTACATATTTACTTAGATCCTAGATTTGTAGCGATAGCGGTTAAGTAATCTGGCAATGAAAACTCAGCATAGTTTTGAACTATATCTTGAAATCAATCGCATCTAGAAATAAAGAAAAAATTACACATTTGTTGTAATATATTCTTACACACATATTGCAATTTTCAAAGAAGAAAAGGTTTGCCTCAAAGAACAGCTCATGAAATAAAGAATAGTGAATTCTGAAATTTTTCATTCAATAACAAAAAAAAAAAAAAAACAGCTAGGGTTGAATAAAATATGATGCCAAAGAACAGCTCATGAAATGAAGAATGGTGAATTCTGTAGTATTTCATTCAATAACAAAAAAACATACCTGCTGCTTCCAGAATTTCCTGCCATACTTTTCGATACAACGATTCTGTTTTTGTTGTCAACAAAATGAAAACTAGAGGAACCGTCTGCTGATGTAAGGGAGCGATAGTTCCATGAATAGTGACGAGTTGCCGAAACAAACAAGGAACTGTGGCAAACGTACCATCTGTGTAACCTAATACTTTGCCTGTCCAAGACGTCGCAAATTTTCATGAGTTCCAAAAATTAAGGCTCTTTCCTTATTGTCACCGAAGTCAACAATCATCCATTATCATCCTTCTGGAATTCATCGGGTAGATTATGCCTAACGTCCATTATGTCTATCGTACGTATGCCTAACGTCCGTATATCTAACGTCCGTATGCCTAATGTCGTGTACCCCTTTTAACATTTTTTCACCACTGTTTACCTCCGAAATAGCATGGTATACCTCCCATTGTAGCACGGAAACTAAGTCCGATACTAGTGGGCTCTCTTCTCTGTTTGTCTTGATCAAGCTTAATAACCTCTGTATACGGGACGGGATAGCAAAGAATCTCCTTCCAGCAACATTTTCGCACAATTGATCAAAAAGACCCCCAAACAGGAAGATATCCCAATGAGTGGTGAGAAGAGCCCACCCTTTATTCACGAAATGTTATCAACAGAAAGTTGGCATTCCCACTCTCCCCATCCAAATTGCTTCAATCCTCTGATGGGTGCCCTGATGGTCCCTCTCAATCCCAGAATCGTTTTGTGTTTATATATGAGCTATAAAAAAAATTAAACATTTATAACGAACTCACCAACTTTCGCTGTTTCTTCACCTTTCTGTCCAATTTACGTGCCTATTTGTGAACTCGTTGTTCTTCACTGCATCACTGCTAGTCGCTACCAGGTAGTCTCTTAAAAGTCACCCATGTTACGACATTTTGACGTCCATTTTATTTGTATGATGTTCTTCAGTTCCTAAATGGAACACTAAGTTGCGAGCACATGATACGCAAAAAGCTTGAAATTCCAAGAAGAAGAAGAAGAATCAATTCTAGAGACAGCTCCAAGGAATTTCATAGAAAATGTCCTAGGGATGCGATGAACTCTAAAAGAGTTTTGACCAAAACTCCCTAGTCAATTGTATAAGCTCAGAGTAATTTTAAGTAGTTCTGTAGAAAAATCCATGGCGATTGTGAAGAGGATTCCCGTATCCGCGAAAAATACCAAAGGAATAGAATTTTTAAGGGTACAATTCCAAAGGAATTGTGCAAAGAGTTTTAAGGAAATTCCGATCATAATTTCAAGGGCACCTCGAAAAGATTTATAGATTACTTTAAACAGAATTCCATGAAAATTTTCAGAAGAATTTAGACGAGAACTCCGAGATAATTCTGAGGTTAATTAAATAAAAATTAAGGAAGTAAAGGGGAATTTTAGCGAATAAAAAAAATCTAGCTTCAGTGAATTCTTAGGAAAAGTAACAAAGAAATTATCTAAGAATGAATTTCATGCATTTCTTGGAGCGTTCTGCAGATAATTTTGGGACTGAAGAAGATAAAGAAATTTTCAAGTGACGCCCAGAAAAAAGTCTCAAATTCATTTTAGAAGAATTCTGATAAGAACTCTGTAAAGGGAAATCATTTTAAAGGAAATGCTTGAGAACAATCAAATAAGATCATGTGATGCTTTGAGCGAATTTTCATTAAAAAAAATTGATGATTTCGAACGCAGAAGCAAATTTAAGACCCCCTGCTATATTAGTAATGACTCATTTGGATCAATCGCATTTGGTTTCATGCTTGTTACGGATGTTTTTTTCCGTATTTTTTTCGGATTCTTGGAATTTTAGATTGCTAATATGGATACTATATGCAGGGCTGGTAGCAGGTCACTTTTTAGTGACTTAGTCACTATTTTGAAGCCAGTCACTTTAAAGTCACTTTTTACACCAAAAAGTCACTAAAGTCACTATTTCTCTAAAAATAGTAACTAAAGTCACTTTTAAGAGTGAAATTTTAAAATATCAATAAAATGTTCAAATTGAGTACTTGGTAATAAGAAAGTCTACAGTAGTTTTAACAAAATATACATATCTGTTAAAAAAATTTAAAATTTTAACCAGGGTGACCAGTGAACCGCAAAACTTTAGAACACCAGGAAAACTATTGGGAAATGCCTTCAATTTCGATTAAATATCGGATAAAGAATTTCCCAGAAAATAAATTGTAAACCTGAGAAACTTGCAAAAGGTATTTGTCTGTGATAGATTTTCAAAAGTCTTTCAAGAATGATTAAGAACTTTTAAAAATTCAAGTAAATTGTAAGAGAATTTTAAAGGATTCTAGTGATGACACCAAAATATATCAGAGAAGAATACCAAAGTACAGGCTACGTCTGTAAAATTAAGTACTCTGAGGACCGATTTCTTCTTCTCTGCTAAAATCTTAAGCTAGGTTTTCCTATATAGTTAAACTTGGCGTCGTTTTTGATTATTGTTTAAATTATTAGAGAGGCAAATTGTGGAAATAATTCCAATATAATTGAGAGTGCATTTAACGAGAGTTCTGAGAAGAATTCTATGATGATTGGATGAGGATTTGAGGTCAAATTCTAATAAGAATTGATGAGGTTAGAAGGAAAGGCGTGTAAGTGACTTTGATCGATCCGCTTCATCGACTTTCTCTTTTGATAGTCACAGCTTTATAAACAGATTTTGCGCTATTGCTGCCACATAGTTTGATAAAGGAGGTTCTCATCTAGCATCCAGAATGGCATACGAATCTAGGAATTATTAACGGTAGAGAAAGTCGATGAAGAGAATCGATCAATGTCACTTACACCCCTTTCCTTCTAACCCCCTCAATTCAAAATTAGTTCTGAAATTCCAAAAAAATTCTAAAGAGTTCGAAATAAATTCCTAGAATTCCAATGGAATCGAATGTTGAAGGTTCAATCTCAAAGGAATTCTTAGAAGGGTTTCAAAGTTATTCTGTGATGGATTCTGATGAAATACTATGGGAATTCTAAGGAGAATACGAATTGAATTTCCAATTGAATGCAGTGGAGAAGGGCAAGATTATTCTTAGCAGAAATTTATGAAATTTCTTAGGTTAATTGCATGAAAATTCTAAGAAGAATAGAATTCAAATAAATTTAAAATGGATTTATGGAAGCAGCCTTCAGGGAGTTCCTAGAAGAAACAAT